CTGGCTGTGCTTCACTGGAGGAGCCCCACATTCGTGTTTTGGGGGGTTGCAGGTCAATGCTGTGCCCGGGAATGCAACATCCCACCAGCTCTGATGGCAACAGGTGTTGTGAGCACGTGGTGCCCTGAGCCCCAGCCCACCAAAGCACAGCAGGGACCACAGTCCCCCAGTGCCCTGGTGCTGTCACCTTCCCTACCCACCACCTCCAGCAGGGGTTACCTTACCCGTGCCTCGTGGCCATGCATGCAGGATCCTAGATTTATTTCTGCTCTCAAAGCCTCTGCTAGCAGAGCATGAGGTGAGCCTGGTGTGCCCTGTGCTGCCTTGGTGGCATTGCCATCGTGGTGTGGGATAGTTCCTCCCATGCAGTACTTGCCACAGCTGCCTGGCACATCCCAGCCAGGGCAGAACATCCCTTTTGGAAGCAGTGTAAAGTGAGCAGGGCTGGCTGGGGACAAAACGTGTGGTAGCATCAGTGTGTTGCAGATGTGATACAAGAGGTGCTGTGTGGGTGGGTTTTTGTCTCGTTCCTGGGATCTTTCGATGTCAGGTGTACAGCTTTGCTCCATCTTCCCTTTCCCAAGGGACACCTTCCCCTCTCTGTGTGGTCCTGCCAGCCCCACGGGGATGGCTGGTGGGATTTGCCCTTGGGGCATGTCCCTGTTGCCAGGCCCAGTCCTGCACCAGGCAGTTGCTGCAGCCCTGTTGGCCAACAGTGACAGATGGTGGAGCTGGTGGTGTCATCGGGGGGTCTTTTCTCAGGGCCCCCACACAGAGGGACGCAGCAGCCAGGGCAGCTCATCCCTCCTAACGCGGGATTTGGCTTTGGGGAAGCTCTCAGCTGGTTGTGAGGAGCAGAATCATGTCCCACCTGTTGCCAGCCAATGCTGAGTCCCTTTTTGATCATGTTTGAGTGATTTAGGATGGAGGGAGGATACAAATGGGTGCAGGGATGTCCCCTTGCTGCCTGGCCCCATGGATTCATCTCTCAGTTGGGGTCTGTGGGTGCAGGTGTGGGGATGCTCCTCTTTGTTCCACCATGTGTCCCTTGTGCCTTGGCTTCCTCTTCAGCGAGGAGAGGGGAGGCAGAACTCTCCCTGCCATGAGATGCAGGACATCAGCGCCGCGGCTGCGGTTGTGCAAGTCGGCGCAGGCCCCTCGATGGGGGACGCCTTCGTTGCCAGCACCTCTTTCATCTTCCTCTTCCCAGCCCAGAGCAGCCAGGGCAGAGCCCCGTCACCGCCAAGCCCGGTGTGCCGGGATGCGGGGTGGGGTTGGGCCGGTCCCTGGGCTGTGCAGGTGCCCCCCCGTCCCCTCGGGGCGATCCCACTGACGGCGTGTCTCGCCCCTGCCAGGTGTAGCGGTGCCTACGTGGGCGAGCGGTGCCAGCTGCCCAACCCCTGCCTGAGCTCCCCCTGCAAGAACGCCGGCACCTGCACCGCGGTGGTGCGCGGCAGCACCGTGGATTACACCTGCGCCTGCCGCCTGGGCTTCACCGACGAGCTGTGCCTGACGCCCCGAGACAACGTCTGCCTCAGCAACCCCTGCCGGAACGGGGGCACCTGCGACCTGCTGACGCTCACCGAGTACAAGTGCCGCTGCCCGCCCGGGTGGTCAGGTGAGGGCAGGCACTGTGTGGTGTGGGGACGCGGCCGGGGGCAGAGGGATGGCCTGTGGTAGGGGCTGCTCCTGGAATAACCCCGTGGATGGAGAGATGCCTGTGGTTTTGGCTTCCTTCAGTTCTGGGGGAGAGATAGGGAGGGTGGTCTACAAACTCAGGTTGGAGTTTAGGGGGGTTTAGCTCCCTCCAGGCTGGGGGAGCTGTCACCCTCCTGCACAGTGTTAAGGGGGGGCTGAGGTGAGGGGGATTAGTTACAACCAGTCCCAGATCCGGTCTGCAACCCGGTGCAGGTCGCTGCCACGCAGACCCTGAGCTGCAACTTGCATCCTCATCCTCCCTCCCTGCCCTCCCCAGGCAAAACCTGCCAGCAGGCCGACCCCTGCGCCTCCAACCCCTGCGCCAACGGGGGCCAGTGCGTGCCCTTCGAAGCCCACTACATCTGCCGCTGCACTGCCGGCTTCCACGGCGCCAACTGCAAGCAGGACGTCAACGAGTGCAACATCTCCCCGCCCGTCTGCAAGAACGGGGGCAGCTGCACCAACGAGGTGGGCACCTACCAGTGCTCCTGCAAGCCGGCGTACACCGGGCAGAACTGCGAGCACCTCTACGTGCCCTGCAACCCCTCGCCCTGCCAGAACGGGGGCACCTGCCGCCAGATCGGAGACACCACCTATGACTGCACCTGCCTGCCAGGTAGGGACTGCCTCCCATGGGGGGAGGAAAGGGCTCGGGGACCCTCTTGCAGCTCCTCTGTCCGCCTTAAACAAGCAGTGCCCAATCTTCCCATGAGTTATGACTCTGGGAGGGACAAAACTCGTTGTGCCACGTGCCTTTGGGAAGACGCTGGGCAGCAATGCCCGAGGAGGAGAGGTCATCTGGGGGCTTTTTATGCTTGGTGCTTCACCAAAATAGCTCTTCCAAAGCAACTATTTGAGCAGAGGCCCCTGTGCGGATGCTCATATTCCAGAATAAGAGTGCCTTTTTCCGCTTTAGCTTAATCCACTTCCAGAGTGGAATAATTAGCCCGGAATAGCTATTTTGGAAAGTTTCCGAGTGCAAATGGAGCTGGGGAAGGAAGACCCTCTCCGTGCTCGCTGCTGCTCCCTCTGGCAAGTGCCAGAGTGGCCCAGTAGGATTACAGCCTCTGGCATGAAGGGCTCTTGTGGGGGGGCCAGATGGGGCTGTCCTGGGAGCTCAACACCCTGGAAGGGGTGGTGGCACCCTGGAAGGGAGCTTGGCACCCTTCAAGTCGGAGGGAAGAACAGCAGCTGTGAAAGGGCCCCTGACCCCAGCAAGCCCTTTCAGTTCTGCCCTCAGACAGTGGTTCTCAGCGCAGTCGGGGCAGGGAGCGGAAGGAGCTGAGCAACCCCACGCTCCCCCCATCCCCGGGTCAGCTGGAGAAATGAAACAGTGGAGTTTCAGCCCACACCAGGCTGTGTTTGCCAGGCCAAGTACCATTTCTCACCTGAGCCAGCCACATTGGACACCCGTGACAGATGTGGAGGGGACACATCCGCCCTCTCCTTGTGAAGGAAGCTGTGGGCAGCTGCCTGAGGAGCCTCTTGTGGGATTGCTTTGATCCTCTGGTCACCTGTAGGGTGAGGGGTGGGCACCTTCTCTGCTCTGCACCCTGGGCAAGGCTTGGCATTGCCACAGGGAGCTCCAGCCTCCCTCCCTGTAGCTCCTGCCCCATCTCTGCTGGGGACACAGCATCTGGATGGAGATGGGCAGCCCAGCCTGGTGCTGGGGGAAGATACATGATCCCTGCTAGCAGTGTGGGGGATCTTGTCTTTATCTCTGACACAGGCTCAGAGGTTCAATCCCCTTCCCGAAGCTTTTGGCTGCAGTAACTCAGGAATCTCATTAACCATCCAGAATACCCAGGGCCATGGAGGATCTCCCGCTCACCCAGGCTGGAGCAAAGCTCCTGTCCTTAGGGACAGTGAGGTGTGGGGCTGACTGGGCCAGCAGTGCCAGGAAGGAAGCCTTTCTTTCCAGGATGAGCTCCCAGGGGCGATGCTCTGTTGGAGCAGCTCCGAGCCCTGTCCCCTCGGAGCAGCACTGCCACAGGGATGGGCAGGTGGAGGTGGCAGGAGGAGCAGCCCAGGCCCTGCCCTGCCATTCTGCTGACGAGGCACTTTCCCTGAGCAGCCCAAGCGTGGGGCACGTCGGGGGGGTGAGGCATGGCCCTGGGGCAGCATCCCTGCTCCCGGGAGGATCGGCTCTTCCACGCCCAGCTGCGGCTCCGTGGGCCGCTTCCAGGAGATTTGCATCCTGCAGGAGCTGGTTCACCTCCCGTGGGGTGGCACAGCCCCTACTCCGGTGGGATGGCACCTCCACCATCCCACACGGCTCGCTGCAGGAGCTGTGCAGCCACGGGCAGAGGCAGGAGGGGTGGGGGGCTGTTCCTCATGATAAGGGGTGATTGATACGCTGGTATGTGGTGCAGCAGACCCAGAACAATGACCCCTTTTCATTCCTGGAGAGGCCTGGCCGTGCGGGGTTTCTTGAAGTTAAACTAATCTGGGCTGTTTTATCATGCCATCGCTGTAGAATGTAACCCTGAGTTTAAAGTAATTGCAGCACTAATTACTCATTGGGATGGTTTGAAATGAGTTAATCCTGGTATCTAGGACGTTGCCAGTTACTGCTGCTCAGTCTCAGCCCAGCTGCTTAAAAATGAGGTGCAAATCAATGTTGTCTGCTCTGGGCTCCTACCAGCAATCATAAAAACCTGTGGCTGCTCCCCATGTGATGGGAGTGAGGAGAGAAAAACGTGGAGAGGGCGAGGGGAGAGTCCTCAGCTAGGCCAGGGTCTGGGATCCCACAGAGGACGAGTCTGAGCACCCATTCCTTACCTGTGGAGGTAACATTTTGAGCTGTCTGCACAGGGAGCAGCCTGGCCTGGAGCTGCAGAATATCCTGGGGGAGCTGGATGGACACTGTGGGGAACTGATGTGGGCTGGCATTGCCATCCCAACCCCCAACTCCTGGGCAGCAGCTGGGTCAGGGGCTTTGGGGGCCATACAGTGAATGCAGCTCTTTAAACAAATGTTGGTCAGAGGGGGACGGGTGGCTTGGCAGATGCCCTGAGAAGGGCCTGGCTGCTTTGTTTCTGGTGGAGAGGCTGGGGGAGGCAGGGTTTCCATGAGTGCTGTGCTATCAGGTGGGTGTGATAACAAACCCAAGCAGCCTGGCTCCCCACACAAGAGGTGGGTTGGGATGAGCCCAGTGCCCTGTGGGGAGGTGGCTCACCCTGGCAGGGACTTGGATCCCCCTCCAGGGCAAGCACTGCTACTGAGGCTCTTTACAAGTGAAATTAAAAGCTGGTGATTCAGCACTGGGTGCCACCAGCCTTCGTGGGAGCAGCCCTGGTTCATTCCAGCTATGCCATGGACTCAGATCCTCTGCTGCCCGGAGCAAGTGTCTCCAGACCTAGGGGCTTTGGCACAGGGATACCTTGTCTGCCCTCATCAGCAGAGGAAGCTGCTGCCTTCCAGGCTCCAGCAGAACCAGCCCCTGGCAGAGGCGGGATAGAGATGGGGATGAAACCAGATGGCTGCTTCAAAGACGAGTTGGGAGCACCTGGCACACGCTCAGCACCTGATAATGAAGAATCTGCCAGTGGCAGGGGGTGGTGGGGGCTGAGGTGGTGGCACAGCCAGTTGGTCAGTTGGCATCACAGCAGACATCTCCTCTGTGCAGGGTTCACGGGTCAGAACTGTGAGGAAAACATCAACGACTGCCCAGGCAACAACTGCAAGAATGGGGGCACCTGTGTGGATGGCGTCAACACCTACAACTGCCAGTGCCCGCCCGAGTGGACAGGTAATGCAGGGATGTGAGGGTGGCACAGGGCTGGGCTGGGAGGACAGGTCCTGCCCTGGGGGGTGCTACAGGCTGGGTGGGCAGAACTGTCCTGCTTACAGAGCCTGCGGGAGGGGGGCAGCGCCGGCCTCACGCAGGTGCCCTGTCCCCTGGCAGGTCAGTACTGCACTGAGGACGTGGACGAGTGCCAGCTGATGCCCAACGCCTGCCAGAACGGTGGCACCTGCCACAACAACCACGGCGGCTACAACTGTGTCTGTGTCAACGGCTGGACGGGCGAGGACTGCAGCGAGAACATCGACGACTGCGCCATGGCCGCCTGCTTCCACGGGGCCACCTGCCACGACCGGGTGGCCTCCTTCTACTGCGAGTGCCCCCACGGCCGCACGGGTGAGCCCCTCCTTGTCCCCTGCCCGCAGTGCAGGGTGGCAGCTCCCTGCACGTCCCCTGGCTCCTTGCTGAGGTCTTGCTTCACCATGACTTGTGTGCCCATCGCCCCTGACGCGCGCCTGCCTTTCGCTGCCCAGGTTTGCTGTGCCACCTGGACGACGCCTGCATCAGCAACCCCTGCAACGAGGGCTCCAACTGCGACACCAACCCCGTCAATGGCAAAGCCATCTGCACGTGTCCCTCGGGGTACATGGGGCCAGCCTGCAACCAGGACGTGGATGAGTGTTCTCTGGGTGAGTGCTGGGGCTGAGCTCATGTGGAGCGGCCGGGGAAGGTGCTGGTGCAGCCAGGAGCACATCCTGTGAGCTGTGCTTGTGTGTTGCAGGAGCCAACCCATGTGAGCACGCAGGGAAGTGCATCAACACCCAAGGGTCCTTCCAGTGCCAGTGTCTGCAGGGCTACTCAGGCCCTCGCTGCGAGATCGATGTCAATGAGTGTCTCTCCAACCCCTGCCAGAATGATGCCACCTGCCTGGACCAGATCGGGGAGTTCCAGTGCATCTGCATGCCCGGTGGGTGGGCGGCTCTGCAGACCCCTGCAGACTGGCTGTGGTGTTGGGGGTGGGCAGCGGGAGGGTTCTGGGTGCCCCTGAGCTTCAGCTCAGTGCTGGGTTGGGTGAGAAGCTCCTGAGTGCCTGGGGACTGCACTGAAGAGAAAGAGCTTGGTAAAGACTGTGTGGTCTCCCACAGTGGTGGGGGGCACAGGAGGTGAGAGTTGGGCACCATCAGCCCTGTACTGGACTCCTCTTGCCAACCTTGCTGTCCTGTATTGAGCCAAGGCATGGAGATCTGGGTTGGACAACCATGGAGCAGGTTGTGCTTCAGGTCCCACCACCTGTAGAACAGCTTCTGAGCTGCCTTTTAAAGATGGGCCAGATGTGCCTAGGTGTAACCCACCCATCCTGCATGTTGTGCCCACCCTGTGCTGTGGTGCTGACGGTGCTGGGTCTCTCTGCAGGTTATGAGGGGGTTTACTGTGAGATCAACACAGATGAGTGTGCCAGCAGCCCCTGCCTGCACAACGGCAACTGCCTCGACAAGATCAACGAGTTCCACTGTGAATGCCCCACTGGTACGTGGCATAAATCCCACTGCCAACGTGGCAGAAACAAAGCCAGGATGCATCCTGGCTTGAGCCAAGAAGGAGCCAAAAATGGACTCCTTAAATTTCAGAGCCTTCCGAAATGGGGAGAGGTTCTTTTGGAGGGAGGTTTCTCCATTGCAGTGAGGGGCTGAGCCCCACTCTGGCAGTGCTGCTCCAACTCCAACTCTGGCCCATGGGAGAGGGGATGGAGGATTAAACCCCACGGCTTTGCACTTGAAAAGGCCCCTCTTTGGGAAGGAGGGCCGGGGGCCGGGGGGGCTGCACCAGCGGCTTTGAATGCGGTGTCAAAGTCACGGGGTGGAGCGGAGAATGGGGAGACGGTTAATCTGTGAAAGGAGGTTTTGAAGTTCAGAGACTTTGCTCCTCTAGAGATGTAAATAAGATGCTCTCAATGGTGGGTCGCAGCCCCACATTCAGGGCCCCCAGCAGCCGTCCCCATGGAAACCCGGCGCCCCGGCTGGGATGCGGGGGGCCCGGCGGGAGCTGCCCGGCGGCGGGGGAGGCTGGGGCGGCTCCGGCCGCTGCGCAGGGACGTGACTTCTCCTTCCATTCCTTCTCCCTCCGTTCCAGGCTTCAACGGGCACCTGTGCCAGTTCGACATCGACGAGTGCGCCAGCACCCCCTGCAAGAACGGCGCCAAGTGCGTGGACGGCCCCAACACCTACAGCTGCGAGTGCACCGAAGGTGAGGGGATCCTGCATCCTGGGGGGCTCCAGGGGTCCCACCCCACTGGGCAGGAACAAGCCACCTTCTTCCCTGCGATGTGCCATAATACCACACTGATGAATTATTAAGTGCCCTCCTCTCCAAGCACCTTCTGTGCGGATTGTCCACAGACCTTCCATCAGTGGGGTCGGTCCCTGCTGATGTGACTCCCGCGGGGCAGGACTGTCCCTCTCCCGGGTGTCATTGGAGCGAGTGGAGCCCCAGAGCCAGGTGTAAGAGCCCAGCACTCGTGAGGTGTGGCCCCGCAGCAGCCGTCCCGCCGTGCTCCCGCCTCGGCAGCGGGCGGCAGCGAGGGGGAAGGCAGGAAGGAAGGAATAAAGCTGCCTCTATGGGGACGCAAGGTGCAGGGCCGTGGGGGCTCGCCGACCGAAACCCAAGGAGCAGTTGCACAAAATGATGACTTGAGCCCTGGTGGCAAACAGTGGCTCTTTTGTGGAGCAGCTCCCGCCAGAAATCTTCCAGCTGAATGGCCTCTAATTAGTGTCTTGCTAATGCCAAGCCCCGATGAAAAGCTGCTATGTGGGCTTGGCGGGGTCTAGTCAAAGCTGTACTTTGTCCTCGGCTCTCCACCCCCAAACCCGGCGGGGAGGGAGCCGGCCAGGAGAATAGGATCTGCCGGGGGGGTTATTATTCGGGGGTGCCTGCGGCCGGCCCCCCCTGTGCGCTCYGGGACGAGCCGCGGGCGAGCGCGGGGCCCCGCTCCTGAGCCGAGGAGGTTTAATGCAGGTCATTGTGCACCCCGGGACAAAGCCCCCAAGCCGGGGTCCGACCGGCGTGTCGGGGTGCTCCCTGCCTGCATCCCGTTCCCGGGTGTCCTGGGGCACACAGCAGGGCAGGTGGGTAGGTAAAGCCATCCCAGGGCACTCCCTCACGCATGGCCAGGGTGGGAAGGAGCATCCCCCATCCTCACCCCATGTCCCCCATCCTCACCCTGTGTCCCCCCCACTGGTGGCAGGTTTCACAGGTGCTCACTGCGAGATCGACATCGATGAGTGTGACCCTGACCCGTGTCACTACGGGACCTGCAAGGACGGCATCGCCTCCTTCACCTGCCTCTGCCAGCCAGGCTACACGGGCCACCGCTGCGACATCAACATCAACGAGTGCCAGAGCCAGCCCTGCAAAAATGGGGGGACCTGCCAGGACAGGAACAACGCCTACAACTGCATCTGCCTCAAAGGGACCACGGGTGAGCGGGAGGGAACCCCTGGGGCTCCACACGGGTCGGCCGTGCCGGTGCAGCATCCCAGTCCCATCCCCATCCCAGGGCAGGTTGGCCCTGAGCCGCCGACAGCAGCCGCCCTGGTGCTGGGGCTGGCCCGGGGCATCCTGGGTGAGGGCGAGTTTTCCCGGTTTGGTGCCGGAATCCAGCAGGAACCGCACCCCAGCTGGGAGCCGGGGAGCTGCTTATGGAGGAGGTGCTTTGTTGTGGAGCGGCGGCAGCAGTTGATGCCAGGGGGCTTCATTTTGCTGCGTCAGCAGAGCCTGGGACTCCCTAACAACACTCCTCTCCTCCCCAGGACCGAACTGTGAGATCAACCTGGACGACTGTGCCAGCAGCCCCTGCGACTACGGCAAGTGCATCGACAAGATCAACGGCTACGAGTGCACCTGCGAGCCGGGGTACACAGGTGAGAGCAGGGCATGGCAGCCACTGCCACACCCTGGGGACCTGCAGCTTCTGGTGCACCAGGAGGGGGGTGCAATAAGGAGGGGTGAGGCTGCCATCCCACTCGCCGGAGGTTTTGCACCCTCCAGCGCTCCTGCTTGTTCAGGAGGGTGACCCTGGCTCAGGCTGAAATCAAAGGGGTGTCTGGTGCCGCGAATTCGACTCCCGCTGCGCCCACTCCCATGGGTATCAGGTTGCTGCCTTGTCCGACTGGTTTGTTTGATCGCTGCTGCAAATGGTGGAGGGCTTTGATGGGAGCAGCCCCCGCCACTCCCCACCCGCACGGCCCCTTGTCCTCGGGCCCACTGGGAGCCGAAAGAAAGCCTGGCTTTGTCAGCCACGGCAGGTAGGGTTACAGGCTGAAACTGCCCCCCTTCAGTATTCCCTCGTGGACCAAACGAGCCCAGGGCACGGCCTCTTCTCAGTCACGTTTAATTAAGCCAGGCAGGCGATGCAGGGTGTGAAGTCACCCTCCCTGCAGGGCAGCCCGCTCCTCTGTGGCTGGCACTCGTGTGTCCAGAGATCCGAGATCCGAGGTGAGGCAGAATGCACCCCCCTGCCATGCTGTGCATCCCATGGGGTAACTTTTCCTCACTCCCCCTTTCCCAGGGCGCATGTGCAACATCAACATCGACGAGTGTGCCAGCAACCCCTGCCACAACGGGGGCACGTGCAAGGATGGCATCAATGGCTTCACCTGCCTCTGCCCCGAGGGCTTCCACGACCCCAAGTGCCTGTCCGAAGTGAACGAGTGCAACAGCAACCCCTGCATCCATGGGAAATGCCATGATGGATTGAATGGGTAGGTTGGAAGGCACAGGGGCTGCTGGAATAGCAAGGTCAGGGTTAGAGAAGGGCGAGCATCTGTCCCCCAAGTCAGTGCTTGTCCATGCTCTGTGCCAGTGCTGTCAGATATTTTCCTGCAGTGGCACGATTAGGGGCCAGGATTTACTGGGTGAATGATGGCTGGTGTAGCCTGGAGGACCAGATCTTTAAACCCCAATTTTTCCCCAAAGCTACAAGTGTGACTGTGACCCAGGCTGGAGTGGGACCAACTGCGACATTAACAACAACGAGTGTGAATCCAATCCCTGCATGAACGGTGGCACCTGCAAGGACATGACCAGTGGCTACATCTGCACCTGCAGGGAGGGCTTCAGTGGTAAGAGGGGGTTAGATTGGATATCTGGGAAAAGTTCTGCTTGGGAAATGGTGACCAGGCACTGGAACAAGCTGCCCAGGGAAGTGGTGGAGTTGCCATCCTTGGAAGTGTTCAAAAGGCACGTGAACGTGCCACTTGGGGACGTGGTTTAGTGATGAACGTTGTGGTGCTGGTTGCACTTCATAGTCTTAGAGGGCTTTTCCACCCCTAACAATTCTGTGATTCCATGATTCTAGGGCTGCAACCAGGGATGCTACCCTGTCCCCCCTTTGCTGGGATCTGGGAGAGAGCTGTGAGTGGGTATTCCCATGATGCTGGGTGGGCTGGAGGCCTCCCTGTGGGAGCGGTGGAGCCCCAGGTCTGTCTGGGAGCTGTGGCAGTGCAGCCAGCCTGGGGACCTTCAGTGAAGTTTGGGCACTCCTGGCTGGAGCTGAGCACAGGAGGCTTTTCCAGAGCAATGAGTGGGCTGTTACCATTGTCACCACATCCCCACTGTACCCTCAGCCCCCTCCCACCAGCACATGCAGCTCTATCACAGCTGATTTTATCTATTTTTCTTAAAACAGGCCCCAACTGCCAGACCAATATCAACGAATGTGCTTCCAACCCGTGCCTGAACCAGGGCACGTGCATCGATGATGTCGCTGGCTACACCTGCAACTGCCTCCTGCCCTACACAGGTGAGGGGGCACCCTGTGCCCCACCATGGCTCTGCGGGGCTTCTGCTTCACGTGTGACACCAAACTGGTCCCTCTGAACGTGCAACAAACCAGCACCAAGCACAGAGGCTTCCCTTGCACTGCCCTGCCATGGGGCTGCCCACAGCCACGGCTCCACCTCCCCTCTCCACAGCGCAGCTGGAGGAAATTTGCAGGAGCTTTGGGAAGCTGCCAGAAACAGCTTCCTCCCTCCTTATCCTCCTCCTCCTCCTCCTCCTCCTTCTGGAGGGCACCAGGGTGGTGGTGGCTCAGGGACGGCAGCGCCCGAGGGCCACCCCGCTCACACCCCACCGCCCAAGGGGGTCAGCGGTGCCGGTGGCCCCGCTCTGCAGCCACGATGCTCGTGCTGGAGGGGGCGAGCCGAGGCCGAGGGGCTGGGGGATTCTGCTGAGCCGATTCCTGTTTGCCAGCCTCCCGCTTCCGCTCGCGCAGAGCGGCGCAGCCGGTGCACAATTGCAGGAAGCCATGAGCCGTTTCCTGCCCTCGGCAGTGGCCATAGAAACCCCTGGGGGGGACGGGGACTGGGCAGGCGGGGAGGGGAAGGCTCTGGAAAATAGCAAAAGGCCAGTTCAGGAGATACTGGCTGACAGGGAAGATAAGGGTTCGGAGGGAACGTGTCCCCTGGCTGGACGTAAACAGGAAAAGCAGCGGAGAGGGACAGGGGGGAGGGAGTGTAAGGGGGAAAAGACACCCCAAGCAGCACTTCCCTGCCAAAGGAAGTGTGCAGTGCTTTAATGCAGCCCAGATTGCCAGGGTTTAAATGGTTCGTGGGTGACGTGGGGTCATGGGCGACCAGGGATGGAGGAGACAGTCCCAGCTGGGCTGCCCTGGGGTGGTGGGGAAGCCCAGAGCCTCCCCTAGAGCTGGCAGCAGCCCAGGGCAGGGGACGGGAGTTGCAGGATCTTGGGCCACCCATTGTTTTGGAGGGGGTGTCAGTGGGTGCTTGTGCCTGTGCAGGAGCCACCTGTGAGGACGTGCTTGCCCCCTGTGCTGGCAGCCCCTGCAAGAACGGCGGCGAGTGCCGGGAGTCGGAAGATTACAAGAGCTTCTCCTGCAGTTGCCCTCCTGGCTGGCAAGGTATGGGCATGGACCGTTTGAGGGTTCAGCACACCCTGCTCCCCTCAGGGAGGGAAAGGCAGAGGGGAGGGGGCATGGCCAGGGAGCAGCCCTGCATGGTGCCAGGCTTTGGGGAGGGTCCTGACCTGCCCCATGGCTCAGCCAGGCAGCCACTGCCTGCACACCTTAGCGAGGGCAGTTTGCTGGGAGGGCTCCTGTCCCCAGTGTGAGCAGTGCCCAAGACATCATTGTCACCCCTGGGGCTTTCACCAGCACCTCCAACCCACGTGGCCCTTGTCCTGCTCTGTCCCCAGGTCAGACCTGTGAGATTGACATCAATGAGTGTGTGAAGAGCCCCTGCCGAAATGGGGCCACGTGCCAGAACACCAACGGGAGCTACCGCTGTGCCTGCAGGACCGGCTTCTCTGGCCGCAACTGCGACACCGACATCGACGACTGCAAGCCCAGTAAGAGCAGGGGCTGCCCCATGGGCCATGCTCAGCCCAGCCATCAGCTGAGACATCAGCTTCATTCCCATTCCTGGTCCTGGGATTTTCCTCCCTGTGAGTGGGCTGCCACTGCAGCCTGGGCTGTGCTGTGAGCCCTGCTGAGGCTTTCAGGCCACCTCAAACACATCCCGGACAAGCCGTGTCAGTCTAAGGCCAGATGGGAGCAGGAGGAAGGAGGCTGGGGAATAATGTGTCCCATATGCCCTCCTTGTGCCCAGTCTCCTGATGGGGCTGGTTTAGCTTCTGCCCAGTGCCTGGGCTTAGTCCCATCCCTCCATGCAGCCAGGGAACGTGTGTGGGGACAGTGCTGTGGGGCATCTCCTGGGCTGGGCTGCTGCACCATGCCTAGACCCATCTCATCTTCACATGCATATCCCTCCTCCAGACCCGTGCCACAACGGTGGCTCCTGCTCCGATGGCATTGGCACGTTCTTCTGCGAGTGCCTGGCTGGTTTCCGTGGGCCCAAGTGCGAGGAGGACATCAACGAGTGCGCCAGCAACCCCTGCAAGAACGGGGCCAACTGCACCGACTGCGTCAACAGCTACACCTGCACCTGCCCCTCCGGCTTCAGCGGCATCCACTGCGAGAACAACACACCCGACTGCACGGAGAGGTACAGCCCTGCCATGGCTGGGGCAAGGGCTGAGGTCCCCCTGCTGCCCCATAGCCCTGGGCTGGTGGGCGGGGGCTTTGGCGTGGAGATTAACCGGTGGTGACTCGCTGGGATGTGATGTCTGTGTTCCCAGCTCCTGCTTCAACGGTGGGACCTGCGTGGATGGCATCAACACCTTCACCTGCGTCTGTCTGCCCGGCTTCACGGGCAGCTACTGCGAGCACAACATCAATGAGTGTGACTCCAAGCCATGCCTGAATGGGGGCACCTGTCAGGACAGCTACGGGACGTACAAGTGCACTTGTCCCCAGGGATACACCGGGCTCAACTGCCAGGTAGAGGAACCTTGGGCAGTGCCCACCTCTGCATGCTGCCCCGGGTATTTGGGGGTCACTGCTGTCTCCACTCCTGCAGAAGCCCTGGTGGGTCGTGACCCTCATCTCTTGCTCTGCTCCCCCAGAACCTGGTGCGCTGGTGTGACTCCTCTCCCTGCAAAAACGGAGGCAAGTGCTGGCAGACCAACAACCTGTACCGCTGTGAGTGCAACAGTGGGTGGACAGGGCTCTACTGCGACGTCCCCAGTGTCTCCTGCGAGGTGGCTGCCAAGCAGCAAGGTATGTCCCTGCCATGTGTATGGACTGACAGGGCCGGGCTGGGGTCAGTGCTCTTGGTGGGGATCTTTGGCACAACCAGAGTGATCTCAAGGGTTGCTGTAACATGCACCACCCTAGGCTGCAGTCCTGGCTGTGGTTCCTGGTGGGATGCGTGGTGGCCAGGATGTGGCCCTGTGGTATGTGTGTGTCACCAAGGTCCCTGCATCTTACTTTGCTCTCCCTGGCAGGTATCGATGTAGCACATCTCTGCAGGAACTCAGGGCTCTGTGTAGACACTGGCAACACTCACTTCTGCCGCTGCCAGGCCGGCTACACCGGCAGCTACTGCGAGGAGCAGGTGGATGAGTGCTCCCCCAACCCCTGCCAGAACGGAGCCACCTGCACAGACTACCTGGGAGGCTACTCCTGCGAGGTGGGTGCCTTGGGGGGCAGTGATGCCCAGGGAAAAATTCCCAGTTACTGCCTTTCTGCTGCCCAAGGAGCTGTCCTGGCTTCAGGCTGGTCCTGTGCCCCTTCACTACGTTGGAGGCTGGGGTGCTGGCTGTGCTCCTGCAGCCAGTTGGGAATTGAGGGAACCTCTCTGATAGTTCCCCTCTTCCCTCCTTGCAGTGTGTGGCTGGTTATCATGGAGTTAACTGCTCAGAGGAGATCAATGAGTGCTTGTCCCACCCGTGCCAGAACGGAGGAACCTGCATCGATCTCATCAATACCTACAAATGCTCCTGCCCCAGAGGAACCCAAGGTAAATTAACTCCCCAGGCTGGGGCATTAGTGGGCTGAGTGCAGATATCCTTGGATTCTGCTCATTAGCTGCTGGGGTTAGCAGCAGCAGGCGCAGCGGTGGAGGTTGGTGTTTGCTCGCGGGCTTACCCATCAAGGCCACGCAGCCTCGGCCTTGGCCGTGCGGTGCCGCGTCCCCCCTGCCTGAGCTGGGGCTCAGGCTGCCACTGCCGTGGTCAGACTCAGCCCCTCCGCAGGGCAGGGCTCGCACACGGGACCACCGGGCACCCCGACACTGTTTGATGAGCTGTGTGGGTTGTTCCCCCATCTCTCTAGGGGTGCACTGTGAGATCAATGTGGATGACTGCAGCCCTTTCTTTGATCCTGTCACCCTGGGGCCCAAGTGCTTTAACAATGGCAAGTGCAAGGATCGGGTAGGGGGCTACAGCTGCATCTGCCCCCCTGGCTTTGTAGGGGAGCGCTGCGAGGGAGACGTCAATGAGTGCCTGTCCAACCCCTGCGACGCCCGCGGCACCCAGAACTGCGTGCAGCGGGTCAACGACTACAAATGCGAGTGCAGACCTGGCTATGCAGGTGAGCACCACATCCCCCCCTCCCAGAGCCCAGCCCTGCAGCCCCCCAGGCATCCCCACGCCTTCCTCTGCTCCTCACACACTCCTCTCCCTCCCCCCCAGCCCTGCAGCCCCCCAGGCATCCCCACGCCTTCCTCTGCTCCTCACACACTCCTCTCCCTCGCAGGCCGTCGCTGTGACACAGTGGTGGACGGGTGTAAAGGCAAACCCTGCAGAAATGGTGGGACGTGTGCTGTTGCCAGCAACACTGGCCGTGGCTTCATCTGCAAGTGCCCCCCGGTAGGTACCTGCTCCTCTCCAGCTCTGAGCATGGCATCTTGTACAGGCCCTGCAAGCCAGCCCCGTGCTCGAGGGGTGGTCAAGGGGCCAGTTTAGCCCCTGAGGCTTCCCCAGCTGGAATAGCCAGGGGAGGATGCTTTGCTGTGGGTGCTCATGGGCAGGACATGTGTCTGTATTTGCACACCCCACATGCTTGCAAGGACACTGTGATAGGGTCAGAGAGAAGACAGCCTGCAGGTACCATGCACAGCTCTGTAGGACTGGCTCTTCCCAGTTGACTGTTATTTGCACCACCTAAAAGTGGAGCAGGTAGCTATGGAGAAGACCTCACTTTATTTTATGGGGATTCTCAGGGTTTACATTCTAGATTATTCTTACTCATCACTAGTTTTAGAGGATGCACCAGAGTCCTGCCTTGATTCCCTGGGTTTCCCAGAACACACACATGGGTTAGGCTGCTCGTAGGACAGCATCAGTGATTCTGACTCCCTCCTTGCTGTCCCCTGCCCAGGGATTCGTGGGCGCCACCTGCGAGAACGACTCCCGCACGTGTGGGAACCTGCACTGCCTGAACGGCGGCACCTGCATCTCCATGCACAAGAGCTCCAAGTGCATGTGCGCGCCGGCCTTCACGGGCCCCGAGTGCCAGTACCCGGCCAGCAGCCCCTGCATGTCCAACCCCTGCTACAACGGGGGCACCTGCGAGTTCTTCGGCGATGCCTCCCCCTACTACCGCTGCAACTGCCCCGCCAACTTCAACGGCCTCAACTGCCACATCCTCGACTTCGATTTCCAGGGTGGGATCGGGCAGGACATCATCCCGCCCAAAATCGAGGAGAAGTGCGAGATCGCGGTTTGCGCGGGGTACGCCGGCAACAAGATCTGCGACGGGAAGTGCAACAACCACGCCTGTGGCTGGGACGGGGGTGACTGCTCCCTCAATTTCAACGATCCCTGGAAGAACTGCTCCCAGTCTCTGCAGTGCTGGAAGTATTTCAACGATGGCAAGTGTGATTCCCAGTGCAATAACGCTGGCTGCCTCTACGATGGATTTGACTGCCAGAAATACGAGGGGCAGTGCAAGTAAGTGACTTGCTCACTGACCCTCTTGTTTTATAGACAAGATCTCCTGATGTGCTGATCACTTGGAGGTATTTTCTGCTTGCATCTGCTAAAGCTCCTAGATGCAGACCTGTGTTCATTCTCTGCATTCTGTTCTGCTGCCTATAAGCAAACGACCATGCTTCCCTGTGGCCTCACTGAATTTATATCCACTTAGAAGCTCTCTGGGTTTGGCTCATTCCAGATGGCTTCCCTGTCCTTGCCTGTATCACTCCATAGAAGTGAATTCTCCAACTCACAGCAGTAACACAGTGAGTTTCAGGGCAGGGAGACCCCAGATGGAAGAGCAGCCAGGAAACATGATGATGTTAACATCCAAACATTTCCCAAACATTGTCTTTGGCAACAGCATGAACTTAATCCCAGATTCCTGGACCAACTCTGGTCTGAGTAACTATTCTGTGTCCCCATGTCTTCTCTGAGTCACAGTAATTTCTCCTTTTTTCTGGCATCTAAATTGCAATTTGTAATTTAACAGCTGCCATCTTTCACCTGCAGAGGTGAATGCTTTCTGTGTAAACTGGTTTAGTGTCCATCAGGGTGAAGAATATTTATACAGAAGCAAGGTCCCTGTGGACCACTGCTGCTTTTCTGAGCAGATGGGTGATATGTGCAGCACTTGGTCTAATTCATTCTCCTGCCTTTCCTCTTCTTCTTCCTCCCAGCCCTCTGTATGACCAGTACTGCAAAGATCACTTCTCAGATGGCCACTGCGACCAGGGCTGCAACAACTTTGAGTGCGAATGGGATGGTCTGGACTGTGCAAACAACATGCCAGAGAAGCTGGCAGATGGCACACTGGTGGTGGTGGTCCTCATCACCCCAGAGAACCTGAAGAACAACTCTTTCAACTTCCTGAGGGAGCTGAGCCGAGTGCTGCACACCAACGTGGTCTTCAAGAAGAACCCCAAGGGAGAGTATATGATCTTTCCATATTATGGCAATGAGGAGGAGCTGAAAAAACACTACATCAAGAGGTCCACAGAGGACTGGTCAGATATGTCCAGTGCTGTCATCAACAAAGTGAAGAGCAGCCTCTACTCCAGGGCTGGCAGGAGGCAGAAGAGGGAGCTCGATCAGATGGACATCAGAGGGTAAGGGGGACCAGTGGGATCCTTTCCTCACTGAGCAGCACTTGTTTTCTGTGTTCATAATAGTAACACGCTATAAAGGGAAGGATGTAGGCCAGATAATTGTATTTGGAAGTTGCTTTCTGTGTGAACAGAAACCGGATTTTGCTCCCATGTGGGAAAATCGAGGGATCATTCAGGAGTCCCTGATACAATGCTGCGCCGACTCTCACGATTGAAGGAGTCCTGTGTATTGTTGGGAGCCGGGGCTGGGCTGGGTGGGACCTGGAAGCAGAGGTTGGCCTGACCGACTGTCTGACTTCAGGAAGTCATTAAGTTAAGCCTCAGTTTCTCCCTGGGAAATGCTTTCTAGAGCTTTGTTGTAAAACTCAATTACTGCAAACTGCGTTTGGAGATCTTTGGTGTAAACATATAGATCCAACCTGCTCCCTCTGCGTGGGCTTAATCAAAAACCACTGAAAGCAAAGGAGTTAGAGCAGCGAAACTGATGTGAGAGGATCTGAGGGCTCCCAAACAGCATTATTTAAGATACTGTAGTGTCTAGGTAATTTTAAAACATTGTGAAGTGGAGACTCCCTTCCATTCCTGTAGATAAAGAGTTGGATTTCACAGTATTTATTGAGGCAAATCCAATGGAACATGAGTGGAAGCTGCAGGGTTTGGGCCACAGGGAAGCAAGGAGAGGGGTTCCCACCTTCTAATTCCCACTGATGGGTGGTTAAAGAGGGAAGGGAGATGGGGCTCTTGTGTCTTCTCCGTGTGGTCATCGCTCCCTGTTCCTTATCGACTTTTCTCTCCCACAGATCCATCGTTTACTTGGAAATTGATAACCGCCAGTGCATCCAGTCATCTTCCCAGTGCTTCCAGAGTGCAACTGATGTGGCAGCATTCCTGGGTGCCTTGGCCTCCCTTGGCAACCTGAACATACCCTACAAAATAGAAGCTGTTAAAAGTAAGTACAGCTTGTCAGCTGGGGAAGAGAAACAACCAAAATTTTCCATCCTTACCTGGGTTTAGGTATCTGTCAATTGGCTGCATTTGAACACAGTCTGGTTTTAATAAACCTCACATCTCTTTTTCTGGAAGTCTTTTCTTAAAAAATAAAGCAAAACCAGTTTAGTGGTTTTTTTTCTTAGTCTGGGTTTTATTTCAAAATCATTATCACTCTAAAAGTTATTAAAAAAATAAAAAAAAAAGAAAAGAAAAAGAAAACCCAAGCAGGCCCAATCAATCAGTGACATGCAAGGAGTTGAAGTTTGTATCTTGAAAATCCCCCCTAAATCCTTTTGTCTTAACAGCTCAATGCAAGCGCAATGATTTGAAGTTTGCTAATCCTTTTCCTTAAAGGAGAAAAAAGTGAAGCTGTCTCCTGGTGCAGGCTGGCTTGTGCAGCTGAGAATTTGCCGATAGTTTGCAATTCTGATTAATAGCGTATAAAATGACCTTATTTTGGGGAGGGGGGGGTGGCTGATTTAGATCAGACTTAGGTACCTCTATTAACTAATTTTCCTTCATTTCCACTCTGTCCCTGGTTTGCTATGCAGCTTAATGTCTCAGCATCTCTTTGTGCCCCACTGTTTTGTAGGTGAAACAGCTGAGCCCGCGACGAACTCCCAGCTGTATCCTATGTACGTGGTGGTGGCTGCACTGGTCTTGCTTGCTTTCATTGGACTGGGAGTGCTGGTGTCTCGTAAGCGGCGCAGGGAGCATGGGCAGCTTTGGTTCCCAGAAGGCTTCAAAGTGACAGAGTCGAGCAAGAAGAAGCGGCGAGAACCACTCGGGGAGGACTCTGTTGGACTGAAGTGAGTAGTTTGCTTGCTGACACATTAAACACAGTGGGTCTGCTCGGGGCTCTTCTGAAAGAGCCCATCGGAGTTTTGTCCTCTAGTTCATCGTGTGGGTGTGGCAGGGAGGAGAAAAATCAGGGTTCTTAAAGTCTTGCATGGGGAAAACAGTGTTCCCATCTGCAGGAGGGTTTTAAATGCTTCGTGATCTGTTTGCACTTGGTAAAAAATGAAAGGCAATCTGAGGGGAACCTCCTGGAAAATGCCTGGTTGATTCTTCTTTCAGTTCGTGCATGCACATGGACACAGGCACTCAGGGACAGTTCCTACAGAGGAGGTAACTTTTTTTATGGTTTTATTTTTAAAGACCCCTCAAAAATGCTTCAGATGGCACGCTGATGGATGACAACCAAAATGAGTGGGGTGACGAGGAGGACACCAAGAAGTTCAGGGTAAGCCCTCTGCCACATTCCCTTTCCATGCTGCAGACAGTCACTGGCTGGGTTAGTCACGGAGGGAGCAGAGTGCTGTGGGAAGCCAGGGAGCAGAAGGACCCTCAGGGGTGCTGTGCATTGCTGCTCTCAGCTCCTTTGCCTGTGACTCACAGAGCTTCCCAGGCTGGAGCTCAGCCCCCTCCTCACACCCTGATTCCCTCTGTGGTCCCTCAGTTCGAGGAGCAGGCGATGCTGCCGGACACGGACGACCAGACGGATCACAGGCAGTGGACCCAGCAGCACCTGGATGCCGCTGACCTGCGCATCTCCTCCATGGCCCCTACTCCTCCTCAGGGGGAAATCGATGCTGACTGCATGGATGTCAACGTCAGAGGGCCGGGTAAGGTGGAACCCCTTTCACTTCTGCACCGGTTGTCAGCTCATCTCAAACCTTCCCTCGCCCCTTGCAGAGGAGCAGCCCCAGACAGCCCTACCTGCCTCTTGTTAGTACAGAGTCACTGCTACGTGTTCTGCATCACACAGTTGCTGTTGTGCATGATTTAGAGATAGACCTTATCACATTTTACTCTCCAGTAGAGCTCTTTTGTTTAATCACTGAGGTGGAAATCAGAGAATACAGAGAAAGTGCCTATTAAATCACCCAGGTTATCTCTGTGCCACTTGTAGATTTCTCCCCTCCCACTGATCTGCACATTTCAGTCTTTTTTCAGGTTTTTAACTATATTAACAGCTTTTAAATTATTACAAACATTTGGTCTTCCCCACATCTGTGAAATTGCCCTCTGAAATAATGAAGATTTATTTACCATACTCAATTTGATTTTAGCAGCCTTCCTTATAAACTGCACCTTCCATGGTGCAGTCTGCAAGGTAGCAGATGAAATAGGAAAAGCAGTGAGTGCTGAGATACCACGAAGGAATTTCAGATCCATATCAGAGGGAGGATAGTCGTGTTTGATGTTTAGAACCAGTCAGGAACACAGCCTTGCTGCACCCACGAGAATAAGCATCTATCACAGACAGAGCATCTTGCTGAGCCCCCCGCATTACAGAAGGGTAAAAAGCCTTTTTTTTTTCACGGGGTTCCCCTGTGCTTTCAGACGGCTTCACCCCCCTCATGATCGCCTCGTGCAGCGGAGGAGGGCTGGAGACTGGCAACAGTGAGGAGGAGGACGATGCTCCCGCTGTCATCTCGGATTTCATTTACCAAGGCGCCAGCCTGCACAACCAGACCGACCGCACGGGCGAGACGGCGCTGCACCTGGCCGCCAGGTATTCCCGCTCCGACGCTGCCAAGCGCCTGCTGGAGGCCAGTGCCGATGCCAACATCCAGGACAACATGGGCCGGACGCCCCTCCACGCCGCTGTCTCGGCCGATGCCCAAGGAGTCTTCCAGGTAAGGGATCCCTTGGCCGCCAGTCTCGGGGGTTTTCAGATGCTGTGCGTTGAGTCAGTCACACAGCTGAGCTCATTGCAGGGTCTCCAGCTCCAACCTGGGCAAGGTGGGGGGTGAAGGTCGTAAAAATTGAAGCATTTGTTGTCTTGGGGCACAGCAAAGCGGCAACCCCACAGCAGCATCCCTGGACTGGGAGCAGGGACTGGAGGGCCCAGTCTCTGGAAAGGGCATTGCAGGTCCTGCGACCCGGACACTTGGAGTGCCTGCTGTCTGTCCCTCCTAACATTTGTGTTTCTTGTCCTTTGTCCCTTTTTGTGGCAGATCCTGATTAGGAACAGGGCGACAGACCTTGATGCCCGGATGCATGATGGGACCACTCCTCTGATCCTGGCTGCTCGCTTGGCTGTGGAGGGAATGCTGGACGACCTCATCAACTGCCACGCAGACGTCAACGCCGTGGATGATCTAGGTACTGAGGCAACTAAAACACGGGCTCCCTCACATGTGGAAGGAAAGGGCTGCTTGCTCTTGCTGTTACTCTTACCTCTCACTAATGTGTGTTGCATTTCGTGGTCTTCCTCTCCAGGCAAGTCAGCCCTACACTGGGCAGCTGCTGTGAATAATGTTGAAGCTGCAGTGGTCCTTCTGAAGAATGGTGCCAATAAGGACATGCAGAACAATAAGGTAATGTCTCCTAGGCTGACATATGCAAGGAAAGAACCATCTGGGGAGTCTGTTTAAAGAGCAGTTTTTGCCAGACAAATGTCTGGCACTGAGACTCTGATTTGATTGTTCTGCTGTGAATGAAGTTGTTGGAATTAGCTCAAAGGAGCACTGTGGGATTTGGTCGTATGGTTGATGTTGAGAGGCCACGCAGTGCTTGGTGGGCAGTTTGGTACAGTGTTTTTGTGGCCATCTCCAGCATGTTCAGGGTCACTCGCAGGGTTCCTGGTTTGATATCAGTAGAAGGACAGGCTCTGGTCAGGAGGGTAGGAAAAAGCAGCACCAAAATCTCACCAGGCAGATGATTGTGGACAACATGGTGTTGGGCATGGAGCTCAGGGCAGTGTTAGCCAGGGGAATCTGTGAACTCAACCCTAACCATCTTTTTGCTGGGTTTCCAGGAGGAGACCCCACTGTTCCTCGCAGCCAGAGAAGGGAGCTACGAAACCGCCAAGGTCCTCCTGGACCACTTTGCCAACCGGGACATCACGGACCACATGGACCGCCTGCCGCGGGACATCGCCCAGGAGCGCATGCACCACGACATCGTGAGGCTGCTGGACGAGTACAACCTGGTGAGGAGCCCACCACTGCACAACGGCCCCCTGGGAGCACCCACCCTGTCCCCCCCGCTCTGCTCCCCCAACAGCTACATCGGCAACCTCAAGCCCGCCGTCCAGGGCAAGAAGGCCAGGAAGCTGAGTACCAAGGGCCTGAGCTGCAATGGCAAAGATGCCAAAGACCTCAAAGCCCGGAGGAAAAAATCCCAGGATGGAAAAGGATGCCTGCTTGACAACTCCAGCGTGTTGTCCCCAGTGGACTCCCTGGAGTCGCCCCATGGGTACCTCTCAGATGTGGCCTCTCCTCCGCTGATGACCTCCCCGTTTCAGCAGTCCCCTTCCATGCCCCTGAATCATCTGCCGGGCATGCCGGATGCCCACATGAGCATCAACCACCTCAACATGGCGGGGAAGCAGGATATGGCCATGGGAAGCTCCAGCAGGATGGCCTTCGATTCGGTGCCGCCGCGTCTCTCCCACCTGCCCGTGTCCAGCCCCAGCACGGTGATGAGCAACGCCCCGATGAGCTTCTCCGTCGGTGGAGCGGCCGGGCTGAACGGGCAGTGTGACTGGCTCACCAGGCTGCAGAACGGGATGGTCCAGAGCCAGTACAACCCCCTGAGAGGCAACATCCAACCCGGGGCGCACCAGCAGCCCCAAAACCTCCAGCACGGCATGATGACCTCCCTGCACAACGGCCTGCCCACCACCAGCTTGTCGCAGATGATGAGCTACCAGGCCATGCCCAGCACCCGGCTGGCGTCCCAGCCCCACCTGATGCAGAGCCAGCAGCTCCAGCAGATGCAGCAGCAGCAGCTCCAGCAGCAGAACCTGCAGCCGCAGCAGCAGCCCCAGCAGCCCCAGCAGCCGCCGCCGCCGCAGCAGCCGCCGCAGCACCACAACCCCGGCTCCAACGGGAGCGGCCACATGGGCCAGAATTTCCTTGGTACCGAGCTGAGCCAGCCCGACATGCAGCCGGTGAGCAGCAGCAGCATGGCAGTGCACACCATCCTGCCCCAGGATTCCCAGATGCTGCCCACGTCCCTGCCGTCCTCCCTCGCCCAGCCCATGACCACCACGCAGTTCCTAACCCCGCCTTCCCAGCACAGTTATTCCTCCCCCTTGGACAACACCCCCAGCCACCAGCTCCAGGTGCCCGACCACCCTTTCCTAACGCCGTCTCCGGAGTCGCCGGACCAGTGGTCCAGCTCGTCTCCTCATTCCAACGTGTCCGACTGGTCCGAGGGCATCTCCAGCCCTCCCACGAGTATGCAGTCACAGATGGGACACATCCCCGAAGCCTTCAAGTAAAACGAGGTGTTTTAGAGACACTGGTGCTCAGTGAGAGTCAGAAGCTCGAGGGAGATCTTTTTTTTTTTTTTTAAAAGGACCTTGGATGCTTTTATTAAAGGATCCTTTTTAAATATGTTTTTATAAAAAAAAAAAAAAAAGGAAAAAAAAAGAAAAAGACACATTTAATTCCTTTTTTTTTTTTTTAGTATTTATTTATGTACTTTTTACTTTACATGAAAACACTGCCTTTTTTATTTATATGTTCTATTGTTAAGAACTCAATGTGGGACACCAGTTGTGTTTCAAGAAATGGACAAATTAGGTTTTTATAGGACGTTCTCTTTTGTTTGGGTGGATTCATTGTGTTTGATTTGAGAGGAAATGTTTATGTAAAGCTATAAGCAGCAATTTGTGATTCTGAAATGCCATTAATTTATTTTTTTTCTCTTTCAACTCAGAAAGAGAGGTGACAAAGAAAAGGGGAATTAAAAATTGACTAAAAATACCACTCCTTGGGGGGAGGGAAATTAAGTATCAACAAATTTTTTTAAATGTACTTTAAAATGTTTCCTTTGCTATTATATGAGAGGACATTTTATGGTACCAGTCATGAACCTTTGTTTAAATTTCAGTATTATATAGTTGTACATTTGCCTTGATAATAGAAATTTTTGTTCTCTCTTGTTTTTATATATATATATAAAAATATATATATTTAAATGATTTTTATGATCTAAAAAAAAATAGGAAAGAAAATCAGGATTATAGACCTGTAAGAACAGGTTCTAAGCTAAAAAAAACAACAAACAAACCAACTACAAAACATGAATACTGTCCCCCATCAAAAAGAAGTGTATTTGCCAAACTTCCAAGAGAGCAAGCCCGTTAACTGTGGAGTATGTACACAAAGGACACTTAATTTTACTTTGAATATCTTTACTGGTTTTGGTTTTTTTTTTTGTTGTTGTTGTTTTTTCGTGTTTGCCTTTGAGTAACTGTTTAAGAAATAAATGCCAATATAAACTTTGTAAACCACATCCTTATTTTAAGGATGGCCTGCCTATTTTAAAAGAAGGCGTGTCTATTAATGCAGACACCCTGAGTGAGATTACAAAGCATTATAACACTGCCACCACCACGTGCTCGCCCGGCTCCAGCTCCTCTGGCAGTGCCTCTGCTGCTGGTTTTAGTGGGATGCTGGACTGGCTAAAACTGGAGGGCGAAGGACAGCACAGCTGAGCCTGTGCTGTGAAACCTTAACATTTTGTTCTGTAACGTTAGCCTGGAGTGATGCATCTTTTTTTATATTGGTGTACACTCTTTCTGTGTATCATGTAAAATATAGTATAAGCCTGTGGCAGATTTAATGTTTGTAAATATCTTTTTATTTTTTTTTTTTTTAAAGAAGAGGTGGATTTTGTTTCAAAAATCTAAAATGAGCAAGTCTTAAATATATCATAAATATATCACCTTATAGAGGTGTTGGAATATCACTCACTCGGGTGCGAAGGCAAGCAGACACCCTAAGACTAGATATGTGTATGGGACAGGCAGATAGAGAGCAGTTAATCAAGAAAACCTAAGAAAAGGGTTCCTTTTCCTCATTCCTTTTTATTAGAACACCAAATAAAATGGATATTTCTCAAGGCCCAGCGCCTTGCTGAGCACTCATCTTAGTTAACATTTCAGACCATTGTTATTGTGACACGCCTAATATGAGTGATAAAAACATCACGTGGTGTTGAACCTTCCTATGTTTTATAAACTAGAGTGTAGTTTAAGAAAAGATATCTTCTGTAATAAAAGCTATCTACATGCAAAGTTGTAGTTTGCAAAAATGATGTATTTTTTTTGGTTAACTGATTTGCAATAAATGATGCTTCTGGGCATCTAGATTTTACTAAAACTGGAACTTAGTGTTTTTGTTACGGAGCGGTTGAAATCTGGGCTTGACACCTGCTGGTTCTCAATGCTGCAGGGCTGCCTTTTGGCACAGAGTGCTGGAGCTTCCCCAGCATCTCTGTTCTCTGTGTAGAATCTCAGAGAAGGGCTTTGGACAGTGGAAATTTCTCCTTAACTTGTGAGAAGCTCTCACTGACTTGAGGCATCTGGTTTGAGCAAGGCAGGAGGGGCTCTGAAAAGCATGTTCAAAGTACTGTAAAATTTTGCTTTCTGATCAGTTTTTTTTTAGGAGCATTTTCTGGCTGATGAGAACGGTGAAGGGTAAAAAATAGCCACGTGCTTCTAATTCCATAGTGCCTACGGGAACAGTGTGGTGTTAGGAGTTACCTGCAGTGCTTCCTACTTCACAGGCAGTGCTGAGCCTGTGCCTGGGCTCTTGGATGTGGTGGCTGGCTCAGATTGGAACTGGGAAGCCATGGGATGAGGAACAGCAGCACCAGAGGACCAAACACCACGCAGAAATGTTTGCTGTCCTTGCTGCGCTCGAGATTTTTAAGGTAATTTAATTTAATTCTTTCTCTCCCCCACAGGGAGTCTCCAGTCCAAATGCAGCTGCAAAGTCCCCAAATAACTGGATATAAATAGCAGAGCCATTGACCTCCTCCCAAATCACATAAGCCTGGAATGCTGGTATTTTCCACTCCGTGGCTGGGGAGGGAGTGGGCATGTGTGTACATGTACCTGATATCCAGCCCCAGACGGATCTGGGGCCACCAGACATTTGCTGCACTACCCGTCAGCAGCTGGTGCTGCAGTGTTTTATGTGCCACCCAGCAGTGAAACACAGCACGTTCAGGGCTCAGGGAGGTGAAGTTCCAGGGTGCACTCCCAGAAAACTCCATGGAAAGGGGTATTTTAACCGAGGACAAACCCCTTTGCCCCCTGCAAGATGTGGTTCAACGGTGAGGATCTCCTTACCCCCCCCAAGGGACATCCTGGGGATGGGTTTCTCAAGATATGCTCTTCCCCACAGTTGTGTCTCGCTGCATCCCATCTGGAATATGCTAAATGAAGAGTGTCTGCCTTCGCTGTGACTCACAGATGTGCTGTTCATGGATCCAGCCACGCTCCCACGCAGCCCCATCCTTCCAGGCTTCTCCCACACATCCCCATCCCAGCACTCGTGGCTGGGTCCAACTGAGGCTGGGAAAGGCTCCTGCCAGCCTGAGGAGGCATCAGTAAGACCCTCTCCTATGTGGTCTAGTGTACAACAGCCCAGTCACTCATGGTAGAAATTCAAGCCATTTGAGGCACAAATTTGGCCTGGAATAGGTTAAAAAAGGGTTTATGAGGACGTGAGAAACAACATGACATTGCAAGAGGCAGCTAAACATGTGGCTCGTTTAAGAAGAGGGGCTGCAAAGCATTTAATTTTCCATGGGGAATGGTTAGAGGGACAGAACAAGGAAAGAAGGGGCTAAATACCAGGGAAAGAGGCAAATGCATAGACACTAATAAATTGGCCACAAAGCAATTCCAGCTAGAAGTCAGAAAAGGTTTTCTAAGCAGTAAAGGAGTAAGGATACGAAATTTAGTTTTTAGGTGTTTAGCCTCCAATTACTCATATATTTATGAAGGTACCTGGGGACCCACAAACTCCTGCCAGTCCCTTGTCCCTGTTTTCTTGACTGGGTACATGAGTTGATCAGGGGGTCACAGATCCCCAACTGGGATCAAGGCAAATTTAAACAAGAAATGAGAGAAATGGCCCCAGTTTCAAGCTCTCCCTCCATACTTAGGGCTTTCCCACCAACTCCCTATCCAGAAGGAGTTGCCTTCCCCCAGTCCCCTCCAACCAAACCATGTTGTCCCACCACAAGCTCATCTTCATGTCATGTTGGGAGCTGAATTTCAAGCTCTGCTGTCACCAGAAGATGATGAGGAATGACTGGATCACAGCAAGTGTGTTTGTTTTAGCATTCCGGGTGAAAAAGGCTGAGAAGCACTAAAATTATATTCAATGCCAAAGGAAGGGTTCAGAAATGTTTGCACAAAACAAGATTAGCACCAGCTATTGCCATGGTAGGTATGTTGGTGCTATGAGGAATCAGTGCACCTGAACTATTTGTTTACATGCTGGAGGGCTTTTTTTTTTTTTTTCATTCTTTGTTTTCATTATTCCTGCTCAATTAGATGGGACATTTAGAAGTTGCTACTCTGTATTGCTTCTACCTCCAGGCTGTTGGTGTTTGCTCAGAAAGTTGCTCACAGCTGCTCCAACCCTGATGGACGATTTGTTGCTGCAGCTCAAATCACCCCCTGAGGAATGTACAAAAGGAGCCAAATTCACCTCGGGTTTGGCCTCCCTCAAAACACACACGGGTTAATGTGGCTGGGGTAGTGTGAATAATCACAGCAACTAAATGAGTAAATTAATAAAACTCAGCTTGTCCAGTTGGCCAACAGAATGCAAAATACTGGTAAGGGATACAGATACTCTCCTTTAACCATTTTCCCTGTTTCTTAATTCAGAGAATGATCTTTTCCATAGAAAGCTGTGTGCAACCTGACGACTGAATAAATCCTCAAAATTTAACGGAAAAAGGTCAGTATCATTTGTGTTGTACCCCAAGTGAGCTGAGGAAGCAGGAGAGAAGGATGTGCTTTTTATTTGTAATGGGTCACTCAAGTCCAGAACTGTATTGCTGAGTAGAGCAAATCACTTAGAAAACTTCAGGGTAAAAAGGGATCAAACGTCTTAATGTGACAATTCTTTATAATCACATGCCAGGAGAACAGCAAAGGTGAGATCTCATCATCAATGTTTGCACTATGTATCTATATATAAGAAGGTTAGATATGTAAATCTCTAACTATAGACACAGATGTGAGCAATTGATGGTCTTTAGAACACATCTGTATTTCTAAAAAACCAATCAGGCTAATTAAAATCATGTTTCCTCAGACTACACCTGTTGGGGAAATATCAAGGGAGAACCAGGGCTTTATCTGCAACTCATGCCTGCGTAGGGAAATTGTATTTGACAATCTGGTTTCTAAGAATGTTCCTACAAAAGAGGGAGATGAAAGGCCCTTAAAAATCACAGTGCTGCCTCTGCTGTTCCCACACCAGCATCAAAGTGCTGCTTCCCTTGCTTGGACTGGGCTTTGAGGATATTCCCCTGCTTTAATGATCAAGCTGCAGAAACAGCTCTTGCACTGATAATGACCCTTGA